AAAAAAAAAAAAAAAAAGATTGGCTAGTAAGTAGCTGAGCTGATATTGAACCTAGTCTGTGTGGCTTCAAAGTTCATGTCCTCCAAGTTATCACTGTATTTGTCTTAATTTCAAATGAATTCAGGTAAAAGGAGGAAGTCTTTTGAGCATTTCTGATGGCATCTCACTTTCTTTTCAGAATGGCTTTGGAACACACACATGGTTTCTCAAGAGAATCCCCAACTCCCAGTATCCTTTAAGAAATGAATACATAGGAGAGTTTGTGAATGGATGTCGTCATGGACATGGAAAGTTTTACTATGCCAGTGGAGCCATGTATGCAGGAGAATGGGTTTCCAATAAAAAACACGGCATGGTGAGGGTCCCGGGAAGATTATATCTGAAACATTACACAGAGCAACTGAAATGCAGTAAAACGTGACTCATTTGTGGCCAGTAAATTGCATTATCGATTTTGCATAGATAATTTACTGTTAAGGTGGTTACATAAATTTTAAAATATTTTTGACATGTTTTCTATTTCCTGGTTATTTAGAGGTTATTTAGTTTGTGTTTCATGAGTGTGTGTATGTGTGTGAGGATGGTTTGGGTTGCAAATAACAGACAATCTAATTTGAGGTGCCGTATATAATAAAGACTACTGTGAATGTGGGCTTAGGTTAGTTTGATTCGGTGACTTTTTTATATCAGGATTTCCTTTCGTCTGTCCACATCATCTGCCCCCATGTCAGCTTCACTCTTGTGTTTTCCCTTCCCCATGACTGCAGGATAGCTGCTATGGTTCAAGACTTCACGCCCATGAGCCACACTAAGTAGAAGAAAAGAAATTCTTTTCCCTGAACCCTTCTATAAATGTCTTTCATTTCACAGAGCTGAACTGCATCATTTGCCCACCTCTGAATCAGTAATTGAACTTTGACGAGAAGCAGGAAGCACCTCTTGTGCCCTGGGCACTATGCTTGTCATGTGCATAGTTTAATAAGACCCATTCTGTGATGTAGAGGGGCTTATAGTTGGGGAGAGGTTCCGGGGTAGGTATAGAAAGAGGAGAGAAGGAGGAGGGAAGGAGGGAAGAAGCAGCAGGAAGAGGAGGAGGAAAGAGGATTTACACAGTGATATGATACCCTAGGAGCCATGCTGTATGTGGCAGCTTCAAAACAAATAGCTCCATCAGGCAGCTCAGGAGGCAGAGGCAGGAGGATCCAGAGTTCAAAGCCAGCCTCAGCAACGGTGAGGCACTAAGCAACTCAGTGAGACCCTGTCTCTCAATACAATACAAAATAGGGCTGGGGATGTGGCTCAGTGGTTGAGTGCCCCTTAGTTCAATTCCAGTACCAAAAACAAAACAAAACAACAACAACAAAAAATCCTCAACTCCAAACCCTCGAAAGAGCCTTTGATGTGCATCCACCAATGTTTTTTTTCCCCAAGGAAACATTTCTCAAACTGCAAAATGTTGTTTTCTACCTGCAGGGTCGATTGACTTTCAAGAATGGGCGCGTGTACGAAGGCCCGTTTTTCAATGACCACATAGCACAGTTTCCAGATCTTGAAGTTGAATTTATAAGTTACCTGGACCTGCCCGTAGATGATGCCCAAATAGACAGGCAACGCAAATCTTCTGATAGTGCTGGTAGGATCATTTACTCAGTTGAAAACAAATCAGCCTGATTTTATCTATGTGTCCATTCATGTCTGATACTTCAAAAAACAGAAGTTTCCTGTAGCAACTGTTTTCTTAGTTTTTTCCTCATATGGTTGTATCACATTTTGTTAGAAAACATTTTGACGTAATGGTGAAAACTTTTAACATTGTTTTTCTTAATTATCCCCTTTATTTGTCTTCATCATTTGCTAGAAATTATCAGAAAGCTTGATGGCAGTAAAAGTCGTTCTGTGTTAGGATCAGGCATTGAACTGGACCTAAATGTGCTGCTGAACATGTATCCTAAGGAAAACCAAGCAGAAGAAAAAAAGCAGGTAGAAACCTTTTTATTCTATAAATTTATGTTGTAGATTTAAATAACAGAATCTCCACAGTCCTGGTATGCTAGAGCTGGTGGTTGCTTCCACTTGTCGAGTGTCTTCTATACACACGCATAATAGGCTTTAAGTAGATCATCTTGTTTAATTTGCAAGGCAGCCCTGTGAGTGAGCAGGCTGGTGAGAAAATGGAAGCCCACAGGGAGGGATTCAGTTTCCCTGAGTTCAGGGAAACTGAAAGTCACATCACTCCCACACTCAGGTCAGTTTGAAGGCCAAGACTGTAGCCACCTCCCTCAGTGGGATGCTAATTCTGCTGTGCATTATTGCAGACTTTTAGGATTCAGGAGAACTTCAGGCCCTTAGAAATCACTGGAAATTGAGAAGTCTTTAGAGACAGATGACTGTCTGGAAAATTATAGCTACCAGGTACCAGTTAGACCACAGCCCCTGCTTAGACTGGGGACCGGCATGCTTTCTCCAGAAACTCTCATTGAAGATGTTACTTCAAGAACCAGCCAGCCTCTGCTCTGCAAAGCGTCTTTGCCCTTTCCTCTTCCTCATCGCTACTTTCTCTGGCTCCTGGTTCTCTGAGTCTCAGGAAGATGCCTCACTCCATCTCCTCTCCTCCTATTTTGGGTTCCAAGGCCATCACTGTAACTCAGGCTCCCAGAATCAAAATTCTACTGCAAGATTCGTGTTAAAAATATGAGTCTTCAGGCTGGGGTTGTGGCTCAGTGGTAGAGCGCTTGCCTAGCATGGGTGAGGCACTGGGTTTGACCCTCAGCACCACATAAAAATAAATAAAATAAAGGTCCATCAACAACTAAAAAAACAATAAAAAAATAGGAGTCTTCATCACATTCCCTAATTTCAGAAGTGGAAAATGTAGAAAGCAGATAAGGAAAAAGTAAAAGAGGTTTTCCATCCCAATAAAATCTTGTGACCCTCTTTCACCCCAATTTTTTTTGGGGGGTGTACTAGGGACTGAACCCAGGAATGCTTTACCACTGAGCTAAATCCCTAACCCTTTTTATTTTTTTAAAGACTGAGTCTTGCTGAATTGCTGAGGCTAACCTTAAACTTGTAATGTTCCTGCTTTAACCTCCCAAGTCACTGACTGGGATTACAGGCGTATACCACCAAGCCCAGCTCCCTCTTTCCAATTTTTTTTTTTTTTTTTGGTGGGGGATGGTACTGGGGCTTGAACTCAGGGGCACTTGACCACTGAGCCACATTCCCAGCCCTGTTTTTTATTTTATTTAGAAACAGGGTCTCACTGAGTTGCTTAGCACCTCGCTGTTGCTAAGGCTGGCTTTGAACTTGCGATCCTCCTATCTCAGCCTCCTGAGCTGCCTCTTTCCAATTTTTAATGTTCATAGATAGAACTAGAATCATTCCATTCACAAAATCTTTGTCTTCACATGGAATTTAATGCTAGCTATTCAGTGCCATAAGATGTGCTCCTACAATATAATTTTTAGGTGAATAATATTTACCAAGAAAGGTGCGATCATATTGTTTACATTATTCTCTCCCTAATCTCTTATATCATAATACTGTAATATATATAAAATCTCTTATATGTTATTATTATACCATTTTACACTTTGGAGTTCTGTCAAATCTGGGTCTTATACAACTCAGATTTAAAAATATCTTGACTATATCATAATCACAAAAGGAACACATGCTCTTACCAAAAATTCAAACATTATGGAAATATGACACAGAAAGTAAAGGATCCTGTGACTCTACACTCGGGGAATACATTTAAATATTTTTTTTATTGTTGGTCGTTCAAAACATTACACAGTT